AATGAGCAGAGTGAGTTAGAGGGATGGTAGAGTGAGAGGAATTCAGAGAGATAGGAAGGCAAGTGCAGATCGCATTGGGAATCACAGGCTATTGGTGAGAATTTGGGCTTTTAATGACAGAAACAGAATTTTGAGCAGAGGAATGACATATGTTTTAAAAGGATCTTTCCGGCTCCTGGGCTGCTTGCTGCAGTGAACAAAAAGACCTGATATAGACTGCAGTATCTAGGTGAGGTGAGACTGCTCAGACTAGGGTGGAGGCAGTAGCTGCATTGAGGAATAGTCAGCTTCTTCATATATTTGGACAGTAACATGAATAAACACTTCCTGGTTTGAATGTAGGTTCTGAACAGAAGAGTCAAGGATGACTCTAAATTTTTGGACAGAACTGCTAACTGACATGGGAGAGCAGATATAGGCAGAAGTTGAGGTGTGATCAACATGAAACAAGTTACGATGGTGGAGTCCAAGGATTGGGCCCTGGGCAGGAGGGCAGAGAGAAGACAAGGAAAAAGCAAAAAAGGGCAAAAGGCAGGAACCATTGAGGTGGAAGGAAAATCATGTGTGGTGTTCTTGGAAGCCAAATTTCAAAAAGCTTCAAGGAGAAGGGAGGGATCGAGCATACTAAATGCTGCTCACAGGAAAAGGGCGAAATCTGAAAATTGACCAATGGATTTAAGTCAAGAGTGACCTTGAGAATCATTTTAATTTTACTGTCACAGGTAGTAACAGGAGGGAAACCAGTCTGGGAGAGTTTAGTTGGAGATGTTATTATTAAGTTCTCGGCCAATACGTTGGTTTTGTCAGTGAAGCAGGAACTAAGTCACCAGTTTAAAGTGAAGGAGGGAGGTGCCTGGGAGAGCTGATGAAGGGAAAGAGATATGATCAGATTTCCAGTGGTGTTCGAAGGGGGTGATGGCAAAATTTGAACTGGAGTGGGCTGAAAAAAGACTGGAGAAGAGGAACTGGAGGCAGTGAGAAGAAATAACTCTCAAGGGGTTTTATTCTAATGAAAGGCAAAAGAAATGAGATTGCACACAGAATTTAGGTCAAGAATTTTAAAGACGGCCCGATTCGGTGGCTCAGCCTGTAATCCCAGCACTTTGGGAGGCCAAGGTGAGTGGACCGCCTGAGCCTGCGGGTTCGAGATCCACCTTGGCAACTTGGCGAGACCTCATCTCTACAATAAATCAAAAATTAGCTGGGCGTGGTAGCGCGCGCCTGTAGTTCCAG